TTTCATATAGAGAAAACAATTAAATAAGCACATACATACATACAAAAAAAAAATTATTAACTATATGGAGTCTTCTTCTACAATTTAACTATCCCTTAATAAAAACTGTCATCACTCCCATAATTAACTCAGGAGCAATACTTCGTAAATCGTAATAAGATAATTGCTATATGACTTGGTTGTCGATGCATAAAAATAGAGATAATTACATTATAAGTAAATCAATTTTCAATTTTTTCTAAATTAAGTGTATAAACTTTAATTTCTTCATTTGAAAACATCAAATTTTTAAAAACTATTAATCAAGTATTTTCATTAATTTTTTTATTAGCCAATGACGTATCTATTATTTTCATAATATCAAATTATAATTTTACTTTTTTTTATCAATAGAGTATATAAACTTTAATTTTTTTCAGATTGACTACATCAAGTTTTTCAAAAATATCTTTTTTTACTCCTTTCTAATTTATTTTAATCTTTTATTTTAAGAAATAGAAAAATAAAAAAATATAGAAAGATTGATGAGAAAATAAGAAATTTTATGGAATAATAATATTATTATTAAATTAAGCAAAACCAATACTGATTAAAAAATTAAATAATATTTTTTAAAATAAAAAAATTAATTTATTTATTTCTTAAAACTAGAGGAACTGATTTATAATTTACTCATTAAATATCCCATTAATCAACTTCTCGGAACCTTGGCGTTGATATTAATTCATTATGAACTATAGTTTTATCATTTAACTATTAGTTTTTTTTTTTTTTTATTGAAATCCGCATGCTATCCTTTAACAAACAAAATAAATAAATAAATTCCCACTTTAACAAGGAAAAAAAAAACAAAGAATTTATCATTCAATTACTATTCGCCTATGTTCATGAGCACTATTTATTTGATATTATAGGATTTTTTTATGCATTATTCACTTGGAATTATTATAATTATTACTCTTTTTTATGTCTTTGTAATGAAATTATTGTGATTTTCTTCATTTGTTCATATATTTGAGATGGTATTGTTGTGATTTCAATCTTTATTCATGTATTTGTCATGATATGTAGTTGTAATTTTCATTCTTTGTTTAGATATTTGATAACTTTTAACAAATATTGCATATTGATCTTTGATTATTTTTTTAAAAAAAAATTATTTCTAACTTTATTTATATCACAATTTGGTTTTTAGATGTAGAGAAAAAAGAGAGAGAATACGACGGCAGATTCCATTCTAGCCACTTTGCTTGTCAATCTTGGTTTCAATTTGTTTATCTTAAAAAGAAAATTTTATTTATAATGGTCTTAAGCTATGAAATGGTCGAAAAAAGAGATCAATACCTCAAAATATTGACATCAATTTTTGAATTTGATTTGAATTTTGAATAAAGATATTTTGAGTTTTTTAGTAATAAATAAAATTTAAAAAGTGAAAACACACACACACACACGAGAGGGCATTGATTGTTATATGTGTGAAGCCTATGAATAGGGACCAAGCATGTACGGTTTAGAAAAAACAAATACATATTGAGAAGAAAAACAAATGAAATTAACATGATAGGTGGATTTAATTTTGTATAATCAAAATTTATTAAAATCAATTTTATATGTGTGTTGTTATTAAAAATTAACTATACATATACACACAAAACACATAATGTTTACTCTTTAAAAAAAAATAATTTAAAATCAATTTTTCTCATATAAAATAATTAAAATTATGTTTTCAAAAAAACACCTCATGATACCATACTTTTCAAATAGGGTTTTTAATACTAATATTATTGATTATTTTAGAAAATATATATATATACCTAATTAAATTTATTTTAAAATTTAAAATTTTATGCAATTTATTTACATTAGTTGTTGCTTTATTTTTTTGATGCAATCTTATAAAAAAAAATTAAATTTATATATTATTTTTTTATTGATTGAAATTTGTATTTTAGATTAGTACAAATTTGTGTTTAAGAATCCAAACCTAAAGAAAAAAAATCATGCTTTTTCTTTTTTAAAAAAAAATCTATTAAAAAACATAAGAAAGAATTGATTAAATAAAATTTTTTGATTAAAAAACCATAAAGTTAGATTATTTTTTCTTTAATTCTAATATATTTTAACATATCTACAACATGGTGAGAACTATCGAACTATAATGATTTTTTCAAATAATTCCTCTTATTCCACTGTATCTATAGCATAGAATGGACAACAAGTTAGTTTTTTTTTTTTTTTTAATCTAAATGGTGCCTTAGTTTACTAATATCCATATATGACAAGGGATAAATGCACTATAACTATACTAACTTTCAAGTTTTTTTGTTATTTTTTTTTTTTTTTTTTGAGTACATCGAATTTTATAAAACTGTAAATCAAATACTTTCATTAATTTTTTTGTGGATTGATGAAGTTTACGTTACCCTCAAAATACCAAATTGTAAATTTACCATCTTTTTGTTAGAGGAAAATTTCTCTCCATTGTATTTTACCATTTCAAATTTTGACAAAGAATTTAAAAAGTATTATTTTTTAGCTATAAAATCCTAAACTAAACTTAATTATGTTTATGCGTGAGAAAATTAAAGAAAAACACAAACACGAGATTTTTTATTAAGAAGATTCGTTACTCGTAAGTATTTAGAAAGAAAGTTTTATCTCGATAAAAAAATAAAATAAAATTATAATTTGATATTTTAGAAGTAATGAACTAGTCATCAATTAACGAAAAAATTAAAGAAAGTATTTATTTGATAGTTTTAAAAAAATTATGTACTAAACCAGAAAAAAAAATTATATAGTCAATTGAAAAGGAATTAAAAAAAAAAAAAAAAGGATTGTTGTACTTATAATGCAAAGTGTTTTTTTTTTTTTTTCAAAAGGCCGTACAACTTTCTATGGACCTGTTTCGGAAAAGAAATCATATCGACTAAGGCTTTAAAGACTCACTAGTTGGTGCCAGGGAGCTCAATGCATACAAATCCTCATCAAGCCCTTTAAAACGCTTGCAACTAAAATGGAATTTCCTCAACCGGTTTTATTGGGCAGTTTCCTATGGGTCTTGACACTGAAACATGAACAAACTTTTAAGTTAGACCTGATCAGGTTTTGGGCTCAATACCAAATCGGATGGCTTCTGATGGATTGAGAGATGCCCTTAAAACAGTTGTGCAGAATGCATCAGAAAGGACGAGAGTTAGAGGGAACCAACTACGCATGTAGCCTTCAAGATTTTTTTTTTTCCTTCTTTATTTTTCTTTGAACTTCATAAATTATATTTGTACAAAACTAGCTGAAAGACTCAAAATCCAACATTGCCTCCCTCTGGTTATCTCCCAGTCAAGTTCGGCTATAGGTCCAACTTACAGACTTCGAGAAAAGACGAAAATGGGGACCGAAATCATGGAACGCTCAGCATCATACAGGTTCCCTGAGCGTGAATTCCTTTATCCATGACCGTAGGGTCAGTAATGATCACTTTGTATCCGTTTAGTGTGACTTGTAAAGTTGAAACTATGCATTGGATGCAACCATCCATAACCAAAAGCGCTAATTGAAACATTTTCCAACATCTAACTGTAGATGTTGAAAAAAGGACATGCAATAGAACCCCCAGCCCACATTAACTGCTTGAATCTCTCTGTAAAAGGTGCACCTTGTGCATTTTGTCCTTTCACTTCCAAAAGTATGAGAATGGAAAGTTTGAAATAAATTGCATGTCTAGCCACTATGCCTTGCAGCATACAACTTTTTTGCAAAGAAAATAGCATATGAAAAGAAGAGGCCGTGGTAACATTGCGAGTACAATTTCATCCACTTGTGCATGCCAATTGGTTTAACTTTCAAAAAGAAGGAGAGAGAGATTATTCGGGATCATCCTGATAAGTGATTACAGGCTAGTACAATTCATTCGTTTGTGAAATTACAGCACAGCATACCTAATGGCATCTCATTCTGGGCTTTTGGACCACCATTTTTTTTAAAAAAAAACTTTTTTATATGACAAAGTAGTAATTATCTTTATCCCATGACACTGGTTGCACCACGTAAAGGCAACCTCGTGAAAAGCTCAAGATTGAGATTGAAAATCACTTCGTTGGATTGGCAAGCCTATGGAGAGATAAATTTGGGCGCATGAGATTGGTGTTTGATATAACAGACATGCTTTAGTGTTACATCAAACTATATCAGCAGTAGATGCATTAAGATTTTATGGGGCCAACTGCCAACGCAACTATGACCTCTCCGAAAAAAAATTGAGGAAATTGACATCGTGATCCAGCTGGGGTGATAGCAGCCGGGCATGTGGTACAAGGGACCACACGGACCATCTAAAAGAAACATGATTTCCAGCTAGAACAACAAATTCTACCGCAAGCAAAGAATGGTTGTCAATGCATGGCCACGATGCATTTCCCTTTCTACATTTATTGTCACTTTCAAGTTTAAATCGTCCGTCTGATTTACTAAGGTCTCAAACATACAAGGATAGAGCGTTTACCTCGACAGGTCGCTTTCAAGCACTGTGCCAGCATGCATATCAACCCTTAAAAGAATAGCCATTTTGAAGGAGAATGCCTGGTTTTTTCTGGCATGGATGATTCATCAAGTGTATTTGGTAGAATACCTATGTGGTGCAGGATGGATGATTCCTATTTCCTAGTTAAGCACCAAACTCAAGTCTGTTCAGCAGTTGGAAAGTACAAGAGCAACGTTACTTGCTTCAATGGAGGAAAGCAAGCAAAACTAGATTCGTGAGAAGTTAAAACTGTATTAAAGATTTGATGAATGGAGGGGCATAAATTACAGGTATTAAAAGAATGATTATCCCAATAAATTAAACCCAGGGAGGAGACAAAAATACATGTCAAAATCACGGAAAATTCTTATCAACAGGACTAGAATTACAAACCTAAGCACTCACAACCACAAACTGCACTAAGAAGACAGGCTCGAACAAGCAATGACAGACGGCAAGTTGTCACAAGGGAACATCAACCAAAAACAGACATCAAAGCACAGACAGCCATTAGCAGCGCGAAGAACAGCTTTGATCTGTTACTTGTGATTGATACTGCGGGAGAAATATCTTCTGGCCTGAAAGAAGGAAAGTACTGTCAGAATCAAGTCACACATATGAGATGACTTAGGAAGAATGTGAAAATACAAAAGGACGGTCTATACTTCTGCAATTTGCTAAGTGCACCACAAAAGAGGGCGTTGTCTGGAATGGGCAGTTCGGTTTTGTTAGTCTCCTCTGGATTGACAATTCTGACATACGTTTCCTGGCCAAGATACCAGGAGTCAAGGTTTTCTGTTCTGATGTTCCAGACTCCAACATTGTCAAGTGATACCAAAATTGCTGTCCATGCTCCAGGATAAACCTGTACAGAATAGGAGATTCAGATAATAATCAAATTGTAAACAAGGAACAAAATAACCATACGGAAAGTCTGCATTCTTAAATAGCTTATTATAGGTGCTGGCAGCTGGCCTCTCGGTACTGTTACCACCAGTTAATGACAAGCTAGCAGCTAGTTTAAGCTAATCTTTTTGCTCAGTGTACCCAATCTCTATAAAAAACAACTGATAAAATTTGCTAGAAAATCTTTGCGGGGGAGAGAGAAGCAATGACTAAAAACTGTGACATAACCAAGAGTTTCCAAGGCATTTAATAAGATAGAATAGAAATCTGTCAACATACCTGGACTGTGGAGCGTGCAATGCCATCCCACTTATTATATGTGCCTCTGCTGTTCTCTGTCCAGTCACCATAATCCATCCTGAAATAAATCAATTGAAGTGCGGGTAACTAAATGCACATTCTCAAAACCAAATATTTATACACACTGATGAATGTATTTAAGTGTTTGAGGATGGAAATGAATTATTACCCCACAACGAAAACTGCATATCCATTCAGGTGATAGCTCTGCATCTTGGTGTCATTGTTCTGCAAGATTATTTCCATAAATCCCCTGAATGTTCCATTAATCACTGATGTTTCCATTTTAGGTGGTCCTGTAAGGGGCTTGCTGGGGAAATCAAGCTTATACACTCCCTTCACTTTGAACTGGTCTGCAAGCCTGATTGGAGTAGCAGGATTGACAAATGATATCCCACTGAGAGTCGCTCGTCTTTTCCCATTAATTGTTACCAGTGGCTTATTTTTCAACACATAAACATCGGTCACATTGATTGAGCCATATCTGAATGATCCTTGTGGGTTGGGACGTGCTCCACTAGCAGAAACATTCCATCTGCACAGTTTGACCATAGAATCCTCAGAGCGAGTTAAAATGAGCGAAGTGTACACAAATAATGCAAAAATTCTCTGATAAAGCTACGAAATTCCATTTAAAGTTCAATTGCAGGTTATTATTCAATAGTTTCCCTTTTGAGGAGCATCAAATAACTAGCTTATTTATGCTCCTATTTTTTCAAAATTTTGAAGCAAGCAGTACTTTTTTGGAAAAAAAAAAATCACGGTTCCTTTTCCATTTACAGTGGAAGAAGAAATTATTAAACAGACTTGTAAAGTTCAGAATTCCCACACCATGATTTGCTTTAAAACGTGACTGCGAAGAATAACTGGTTAGAAATAAGCCTTATAAAACCATGTGGTAGGGCATTTAAACCACCATAGAAGCCAACCTGATGGATCTTGCTTGGTTCATTGAGAAGGTTTTATCATACTCATCATCAGGTGCATCTGGAAGGGGACCCTCTGCCTTCCCTTTGGAATTTGTGTAGTGCAATATTGCAACACCAGTAACCCTTTTCCACTGCGATTCATTCACAAACCTTGCGCTAGCTACAATGTAGTAATCAGTACTTGCGTTCTGATCCATGGTCACCAAAAAAGAATAAGATTGTCCTACATGTATATCTAAGCTAGTATAATTTTGTTGCACTGTATATGATCCCTCTGACTCAGCTAAAAGCAGATTGTGGTTCTGCATCCGGAAATTCAAACTTGTTGAAGTTCCAACATTGTGCACACGGATGCGATAGGTTTTCCCTGTCCAACATAGCAACATCAATTATTTAGAAGTGTGAGCTTGATCTTCAGGAACTCCATCATAAGCAATAAAGTACAACAACAGTATTAAGGAAATTCCATTCTACCATGATGTATTGATAGGCAATTAACATAAAAGCATATCTAGAAATTATTTTTATTGCTAATTTTTTTTAACTAACAATACTTATTATTGTTAGAATTTTCTTATTAAATATTGAAAAAAAAAACTTACAAAGTACTGTATTAAAGAGAGAATATGACTGTTTTGAAATAGTCATAAAGTTGGAAACCAGTCCTATCACAATTATAATGCTGTGGCCGGAACGAATGCCTTACTAGCTTATCCAGCAGATATCTACAAATTGATATACTGATCATATCTACATTATCGTACGTAAGCAAGAATCTTAGTCCTCTTCGTTAGAATCACTAACGTCACTAGGTTCGAATTCTAAAACCTCCACAAGCTTATTCCCATGATTATCGTTCCACTGAACTTTTCTTCTGACTTTGTCTGAATTTCTTGACTCGCTATAATCTTGTCCATTCTCTTCAACATCGTCCTCAACTCTAGGAGAGTATAAAGTCATCATCAAAGGTTCGTTTTTGAATCCATTGACTATTACAAATTTACACCCCCCCCCCCCCCCCCAAAAAAAAAACCCCAAAAAAAAAAAAAAGCTAAAATATATCAATTCTATCAATCAAAATGACATATAGGCTGTTTTGATAACACAACCCAGATTTCCAAACATCAAGAACGAACAAACCCTAACCCCAAAATCCAAACTTTGTGTGGTTAAGGCTGTCTTGATAGGGTTTTGACAATCAAAACACAAGGTCAACGCACATTCATGACATGATCAAGCTCTGAATTGGATTAGGAAATTATAAAATCAAGAAATCTAAAAGAAAAGGGATAGAAAAGAGATGTCATGGAGAGGAGGGGATGACATTACTTTCGCAAGAAACTGACAGAAAAACTGGAGCTCTTTTTTTTTTTTTTTTTTTTTTTTGGAAAAAGGAGTTTTGTTCAGCTAATTGATAGATGTATGAAAAAGGAAAGGAACGTTAAGATGGAGAAAATAAAATTAATCGCACAGAAAAGTAAATCAAACCAGTGAGAAAACGAAACCATTTAATTTGATTTAACCAAAAAAAAACTTTATTGATACTTCTTCCATCCGCCTGTCATCACTCCATCCCACGAGTTGTCTCACAATAATAACCATCAAGAAAGGGTAAAATGGTTAGGGTCTAATGATCATTATCAAACATAACTCAAAACAAATACAGCATGGTGCGACCATAGCACTGAGGAACTAGCAGACATATATATACCTAATTTTGAAGGTCAAAGAGCTCCTGCAATGCACTACCCGAGGAAAAATTCTAACATGGGGCAGAAGTAATTCCTAACAAGGAGGGAACAATAGCTAGGATCTATATCAAAATATCATATGCAAACTAATCACCTGGTTGAACTTCAATGGTTTCATAGTCAATGCCATCAGGGACAAGTGTTGTGTTATATTGGTAAGGGCCTTTGCCATTAATAAGAACCCCATCTGGCATCCCTAGATCTTTCCCAGCATCAAGAGCCTTCCTCAAAGCCTTCAATCCAAAAATAAATCAGGATAAAAAATTGTAAGCCAGATTTCCATCCGCAACCTGACAATTAAAGTTCAGCATTACTAACCGTGTGGTTCCTTTTGTACCAATCACCAATCAAGATGACAATGTCCCCATGTGGAGTATCAAAAGGAATTGGAATAATAGCCCGGTTGTTTATAAGAAAGCTCCCAAATCCACCAGAAGCTCTCTGCATATGGAGAGAAGGGAAGTAAAAGAAACTCCCTATCTGATCTTTAACCTGAAACTGGTAAGTCCAGTTCCACTTTGGAGGAATGGGACAGTTAGTACCAAGAACCCCATCTTGCCATGAACTTCTCCTTTGTTGAATTCCAGACCTATGACATCCATCATCGAATTCCATTCAGTAAAGAAGTATATATAACCATTTATACTCTAATTCGCCACACAATTTCAGTGTTCACTAGCAAAGAACCAAACTTTAACACTATACCACTTCTATTCACAGTTTAATTCAAATTAACGGCAAAAAATGCACCAAGTAAACAAACATACCAATGCATAAGGAGATTCTCATCCAATTTGTTCTTGACATTGATAGCAACATTGTTGTTAGTGGTCACATTGATAGTAGGACCAGGAAACTTTCCATTTATAGCAATAACCTGCAAAGCAAATGCAAAGCAACACCATTTCAGCATCACTCACAAGCTCCTTTTACTCTACTGGCTAAATCTACAGCATTAAAGTCAAGTTGCCACTGCCTAAGCAAAATTTATCAGATCTGAAGCTAACAGTAGAAACTTCAGAGAAACTAAAGCAAACCCATTTGCCAAAAAATCAAAATTAAGTACAACCAAGAAAAAGATCCACTGAAAGTAGTGTAAAAAAGTTGAAAATGCAGAAAAAAGAAAGCAAAGGGAGGGAGATCTAAAGGACCAACCTCTTGAGGCACACCGAGAGGAGACGCAGTGATGTAAGAGACCTCAAAGTCATAGCTAACAAAAGGATCCGCAGCTAAACACAAGCTCAAAAGCAAGCAAATGTGTATAAGAAACAAAGCTAAAAACTTGCTACACAAAGCCATTCTTTTAACAACTTTGATGTTTTAGTACAAAACAAAGTTAGAACCCAATTTTGTAGAGCTTTTTTTTTTTTTCTTTTCGGGTTATGTTTTACATTACAAGACAGGGAAAAAGGAGGAGAAGAAATTAGAGCCTCTGGCGAGAGGTTTTGTGCGTGTTTTCTTGGAGAGAGAGAGAGATACGGCTCTATTTCACTTGACTTTTTTTTTAGTGGTGGTTTTTTTGGGCTCAGTTAACAAATAAGTATAAACGGTCAAGAGTGACTGATCCCCACTCTTTTTGTCGGTAAGGAGTCATAGTTCATGTGTGAAGGAGAGAGAGAGAAAAGAAAGGGAAATGAAGTTGTAGGGAGAGAAAAACAGGGTGACAGCCCGTAGCCAGTTCACGCATGAAAAATCTTTTGACCATTGTCGAACCCCAACGTTCAGTTACCCTGAAAAATATCACATGGCTGCCAACCAATGAACGCTCATGGCCCATGCATGGATCCCACTCTCTATAATTTGGGTTTTTGTGTGTGGAATATGCTTTGCACATAAGTTATCTCCACTCGCGCATCCATCTAATATTTCGTGTCTATGAAATGTGGGTGCTTAGTTTTTTTTTTTTTTGGTCAGTAAAAACTATTACTGAATTGATTTTTCTTATTTTGATATATAGACACAATACCAAACTGTACTAAAAAAGAATAAAATTGTTTGTTTGTTTTTTTGTGATTTTTTTGTAATTTATATCTGTCAAACAAATTACTCTTTTTCTTCAATAACTTTCAATAATTTGTATTTACCAGGACAGGACCAGACCATGTACTAGGATCCAGAAGGAGTACCTGATAACCGTTTGATTGGATTTGGATAATGACTGCTTTTGTTGGAAGCGGTGAAAATACAGTTGATTGGTTGTAGTAGTGAGGAGACAATAGAGTCAAATGATTATGCGTCCTCTCTCTTTTTTATTAAAGTTATTGCCAACTGAATTTCTTTATTTTAACCACTGTTTAATTGAAAATTATCTAATTAATTATAAATTATTCGGAATTTTTAATTGAGTTCCTACTTTTTTTTAATTTTGATTTAGATTTAGATTTTTTTTTCAACTAAGTACTTTTGTTTTATTAATTATTAAAACAAAAACACATATTTTATTTTCTAAACTTTTCAATGTATATTATTATTTTAACAATCCACGTGTTTGAAAATATTTTTTAAAAATATATATTATTGTTTTAAATTGATCAATGAATTGCAAGTAAAAAAAATTCAAAATTCAAATTAAAATTACAAAAAAGGTGAATATTTTTTTTATTGGCTAAAATTTCAAAATACCGTATAACCAATTAACATTAAAAATATTCAAAGTTATATTCTTCTCTTCTATCAAGGTGGATTTTTTATTTTTTTTCTTTCTAGCTAGCATCTAACCTATTAACTATGATACCGAATTCTCACTCATTTCATCTCATTTTCAATTTTTTTCTGGGACATGCTCTTTAGAGGGTATGTGATACATCCACTCTATTTAAAGATATAGATGTTATTCCATGAAATTTATGTGCTGTTTTAATAGATTTCACCTTTATATATAAAAAGAAAAATACAACTATGATGTACCTAATAGATTCTAAGTTATGTTTGGCAAATGATTGATGATGTTTGACTCACTATTGTGAAGTTTAAATTTGGTTGAATTCACTTTCTTGAAAAGTTGAATTGTCAAGGTAGAAATCATTATCCATAACTTATGTTTTAAAGGATAATTTTTACCTTCTAAGCATGGAGGATCAAAATCAACTTCCAAGCAATATTATTCTTTGAATATTAATAATGATTTGAAAAATAAACTTTTTTTTAGCCAAAACTTCTCAAAAAGAGATGAAAATAAATACCTTTTCTTTTCTAAAAAGATTGTCAAATTTGACTTTGTACATAATTTAAGAAAGTTATTAATTGTTATGCCATATACCCATATTAATATATTTTTTTAAATACTTTTTATATTAAAATTGTTAGTTATTGAATTTAATCATGCATTACAAAGAAAAAATATTAATTTAAGAAGAAAATCTATTCAAAAATTAAGAGGGTAAATAAAAAAAAATTTATCAAGTTAATTAACAATCAAGTTTAAAATAATTGTAGAAACAATAACATAGTAATAAAAATATTTTATTTCCAACATTTCGCTATGCATTAAAGTTCCCATAAGGATGAAAGACTTTTATGTGACAAGATTTTCCTTTAAAATTTTCATGTTAAAGATTTTTGTATGTATAAGAAAAATATATATAAAAAAAATATTAATTTTTTTTGTTAGTAAAAAGTGTGAAATGAAAGAAAAAATTAATTTTCTTTATCAATTTGAAGTATTTTAAAAAATATATTATTTAAAGTTTTCACTAGATAAATATTTGAAAGCATATATAATTTCTTTAGCACTGAGGCGAGAGGTAGTAGTCAAAAAATTATGTTAAATTTCTATTTTTATCATTATCTTTTTTATAAAAAATATATATATATAGTTTCTTTTCTTTTTTTGTAAGTGTGTTTTTCGCATAGAATAGTTTTTCATAATATTTTTATCATTATTACTATCTCCATAACCTAATCACCCTCGTATATCATTATTATTCTAATACCACCATCTTTTTCAAATAATTTATTTATTAAACACCGTAGACTTTCTTTGATGTAAAATGTTTGACTAAAACATTTCACATATTGCTTGCTTAGCGGTGGATTTATTGTCTAGTCCTGGGCGAGAACATCTCCCTAGAGACCAAAAACAGAAATATTAATTACATCGGTATGCCAAATGCGACATAATGCTTAGCTTGTTAGTTAGTGTCATGAGAAAAAGAAAAAAAATACAAAAAGTGTACGGGTGATAGAAATTTTAAATTTTTAAGAGAAGTTTAATGTTAAAATCTCATTTTTCACTTTTTTTTTTTTTTTGTCCATTTCAAGATTTTAAATTTTTAAGAGAAATTTTAAATTTTTGAGATGATCCTTTAATATGGTATCGTAGCTCGATTGACCTCGAAGTCCCGAGTTCAAGCCTCATCATCCTCAATTTCTCAAATATTAAGCACAAAGCAATGTGAACTCTGTGCAAGTTTCATGCCCCAAATGTTGGCTTTTCACTTAAACGGGTGTGTTAGAGATTAGACTTAAGCTTTTAGGTGAGATTGTCTTTTAATATAAGGCGTACTTAGCTTTTAACTATCAAAGAAATTTCTAATATTTAAATTTATATAAATAAATATGATGAACAATGTGATGTAATAGCATTCCAACGGTCAGCATTAACAAAGTTAGGTTGATAGTGTACCTCTGAATTGAAAAATAGAAAATAGAGAGGGCGGTTGATTGTCAGGCATACAGCAACCAGTAAATATCGAATCCTTGGGTCTACCTCACACTATATATTTGAGCTTTTCCTTCAAATTTACCTGAGGGATTTTACCTGCTAATTGTAAGAGACAGCGTAGTGACATTTTTTTGGTTTTTTGACTCAAAAGTCCACGGTGATGTATCTTTCTTCAATTTCATAACAGTGATGACCTTATTTTTTTGTCTGTTAATGATAGCAAGATCCAGTTTTTCAGCAATTTTTTTTTTTTTTTGGTGACTTTTGAGAGACATAACGATTGGAGAGTGAAATTGCTTTAACCAGGCCTTGCTAATTAACCAGCTCTGCTCAATAACTCTATCAATTCGTGGTCTCCAACATACATGTCACGTGGGTCCCAACTCCCAAAGCGATGTAAGAGTGACTGAGTACCGACATCACTAAGCATTTGCCAATGCTCTAAGGTCTTCTAAATATTTACTATTTATTTTTTAACGTTACTTTTATATTTTCAATATTTACCACATGCGTGCTACCATCAGCATACAAATTAATTAAAATTTATTATGAAAATCTATCCTTAATAAATAACACTATTGGAAAAGGAAAAAAAAACTTTCTTTTGTCTCCAAATATGCTAAATTTAATTCAGTTTCTCTTTGTGGAGGAATCAAGCAATATTAAATTTTAAGCCTTCTTTTTAACGAGGATGAACTAAAACAGTAAAACTTATCCATTCCTATCCTAAGACAACGGCACTTGTCTATCCACGCTATTTAATTTTTTGAACAAGAGAAAATAAACTTATGTAATCAATTAAGTCTTTTTTTTCAAATTGGAAATTAATTAAGTCATTTTAATTCAATTACTGATTAATTGTAACTAATTCTTTTATTTTTATTTTTTCATGAAAAACAAGTCAATGTTGTAATCGAATATTTAAACTGGTCATATAAAAAATTAAATAGCATCACAATAAGCCGGAAGGCAAGATAGAATGTCCACCGTATTCTTATCTTCGAATAAAGAAAATAAAGTGGAAATAAAATATATTATTCTAGGAGTGATAATTTTTCCTATCACTAACAAAAATAGATGCATAAAAATTAATTGCATATGTCGATCGATGCAATTAATTTGGCATAAATATACCGCATTCTTATGTAGAATTCGAAGCCGTTGTTAAAATATGCATGTGCAATGTGTGCGTGTGAGAAATATGCATGGTGATATGTATGGAATAGTAACGGAATGAATTGAGAGCAAAGTTAGTTATACGCACCATGCATACCGTGTGTTTGTTATATTGATCGACCCACACGGACTCGAAGAGTACCAGTTGTCAATTGTTCTAAGAATCTCGGAGCTAGGAAAATTTTTCATTTCGTAGACCTACATCAACCAATGATGAGCACACAAAGAATGATGCAGTTAGATAGTTTGTTATTCAATTTTCTTGTTGTAAATATTCTAGAACGTACATTGTTGTATAAAAGAGAAAACTTACCGTAATTGTAGAGCATGATTTTGAATCTCAATGCAAATACATTTCTTTTCTTTGTGTTTCTCTATGCTCGCTATATCTCATTCCTCTATTTTAACATGGTATCGAGCCTAAGATCACAATCCAATAACCTCTATTCAAACCTTGCAT